CAATGTCGTCCCTGCCCTTAGCGCTTCCAGCGCCTTTACTCTCAATCGCAATGTTTCTTAATACCTATTTCAACGGTTTGTAAATTTTTGGTCAGGCGGTATATTTATCCTACCCTCGAAGAACACAGTGCTCAGTGATTGACATTTTAACGCTTTTCACATGGTTCAACACCAATACTACTATGAATCTCTTCCACTGTGCAGGGCTGCTGAGGGGACCATTTCTGGTTCTAGTTCCACTCCTTGTTTTTAACTTGACGCGTGGTAAATGCGAGGGGGCAACCACTTTGGATGTTTGGGGACACAATATTTCTGAGGGCCAAAGATTTGGGCGGATTTTGCAAGATTTTAAGCAATATTCCGCCCAAACTTAGCTTGTTTTTGGTCTTTTTTAAAAGGGAAAATTTCAGATTTCCCAGAGATTTTTAGCGCTTAGGTGACAAGATTTCTGGAGTGGTTGCCCCTTGGATGTATCTGTTCTATTTTGTTTGAACCGTACAAAATTTTACGTCTACGAAATATTTCGTACATATTTTTATGCGACACGTGACCAGTCATACTAGATGCCAAGTTCTATGCAAAGCAACCACCACGTTGAAAACCGCACCTCTCTACCTTGAAAGGCGCGCCCGCAAGAGAGGAGGGAAGGGAGGGGCGCGCACTGCCTGTGCGCTGAGCGCGCCGCGCCAGTGAAGAGGCTCGCCTGCGGCCCCGGTCCCCATGTTCCAGGGTTTGCGCAGTGGTCACCGTCCTCGACATCGAAGAGCCAGGCGAGTCATCAACGCAGCAGTCCGGGGGTCGACTACCACTGAAGCCTGTGTCTCAGCAGCTGGGCGGGCGGGGCCCGGGGGGCCCGGGGGGGCCCCCCGGGGCCCGGCGGCCCGGCGGCCCGGCGGCCCGGCGCTGGCATTCTTTTGGCGGGGATGCGTCGGGGGGCTAGTCCGCTTTAGTCCCGCGCAGCGGACTGAAAGCGCCCTAGTCCCGCGCGGACTAGGGCGCGCGGAGGGCGCTTTTTGGGCGATTCTGTCCTGTTTACGTCCTAGTCCACCTGGAAAGCAGACTGAAAGCGAACAAGTCTGAGCCAAGGTCAAGCGTCCTGTTTGCGTCCTAAAAGCGTCCTAAAAGCGTACTTTTTATTTTCATACGGGGGGTAGGCCTCGCCGGCGGTTTCCCGGCCAACCATTTACGGGGCGTCATAAGAAACGTTGGGACCGTCGCCGTAAAAATAGGACAAAAAAAGGAAAACCCATAAAAAAGGAAAACCTCGCACGGGCCGCAGTGAATATATATATTTTTTCCAGAGGCGGCCGGAACTCTAGTGAGCTTCGCCCTGCACTGAGATTCCCAAGGGATCGAGAGGCGACATGCTACGGGGTTACTGTAATCCATTATTTTCCTGACTGGGAGATGATTTAGGACCGCGGAGACAAACGCGCCGCGGGCCGGCTGGATCGCGCGGAAACACAAGCATTTTGTGTCAGCAACATGGTGGTTGTCATGATTAGTATTTTTCGAAAAAGGCAGTGGATGAGGACGAAAGTGTCCTGCGGGCCAGCGACGTGGTACCGATGCTTTGACGAGCGGCCGACACACGCAGGCACGACGCGTCGTGGGCCATGCCACCGCCACCCACCGTGCGTAGATATCGCCGCCATCACCGCCAGTGGCTGCTGCCGGACAGCGCGCCGTCGCCCTCGGTCGCCCTGTCCCTCTCGCACTCGTGGGGCGCTCCGGCTCCGCGAGGTTGCGAGAGAGACAGAGAGCCTCCCTGCTCGGAGGCCGCCAGCAGGCTGCCGATTTGAGCCCTCCGCGTAACGAGTTGCATTCGAACAAGGCAGGCAGCGCGGCAGAGCCCCTTTCCCCGCAGATACTCATCGCAGTGCGCGCTCTCTCTCTCTCTCTCTCGCACACCGTCGGCCTGGCCGTGAGTGCGAGCGAGACGGTGCGAGGCCTGCGGGACGGATGGCTCAGCGCAGCTCAGCGCGAAACAAAGAAGCTTCGCGACTCGCGGGGCACTTAACGCGTGCCCTATCGGCCGCGCCATCGGCCGCCTCGGCCGCCGCGACGTCGCCGACGTGCTCCCCGAGGAGGCCGACGAGTGCCCCGGCCGTGCTCGGCGACACGCACGCCGCCGACCGGGGCACCAGGACCGCGGCGGAGGACGCGGCGCGCGGCGCTCGAGCGGGCCGCCGATGGATTCCCCCCCCCCCCCCCCCCGTGAGCAGCACCGCGCAGCACCGCGCGGCAGGCCCTTGTGGACAGGATAATCATAGGTTGCGCGGATGACGCATTGGGCGCAGCGTAGCGAAGCCCGCGAAGCCGAGTGGAGCGGAACTTGGAGCGGAGCGCGCCGCCGGCGAAACGGGAAAAAGCCGGCGAGCAAAAGGAAGCAGAGGTAAGAATGTCCACGGATATTGAAACCAAGTAAAGACCGATTTCGCGCCGCCAGTAAGCAAACCGTCGTGATTAAGGGCAGGCGCGCGGCGCGGTGCGCGTCGATACCCCCTGCTGGCGTCTTCCCCCGCGGTCGCTACTCCGCGCGGAGGTTGGCGCACGCGTCCGGCCGGCCGCTCCGCGCGGACACCGCCAACGCCGTCACCGACGAGTCAATCTTGAATAACGGCCGGCAGCCTGTTGGCGGCGGCGCGGCCACGAAGTGCACGAAGTGCCTCGGCTGCCACGACACCTTTGATCCGGCCGGCAGTAAACGTCCGCGCCTAATCCCCGTGCAGGCCGTGCAGGCCGTGACGCTACCGGCGCCGCCGCCGGCCGCGCACCGCCCGGCTTAGCGGACTGGCCGGCCCGCGCTGCCCCGCGGCCACAACGCACCACATAAACCTCTCCGACGAGGTATAAAAATGTGTCCCGGCCGGTGATCGGCCGCCGTAACGCTGCAACGCCTCGGCCGGCAGAGGCCGCCGTCATCGGCCCCATCGCCATGATTCACTGCGTTTGGCACCTCCCGGCCCTGCCCACCGCTTCCCATGCGGCGGCCGGCACGGCCGGCACGGCCAGCACGGCCTCGGCCACGCCGCGTGATTTAGGGGCGCCGGCCTCGGCCTCCGCGTCAAACCAGGAGTGGGCTGGGACACAGGCGTGCGAAGCGGTGCGAAGTCGCAGGGCCCGAAATCCGAGACATCATCATCGTATTTTCGCCTTCCGTCTCGGACATCGTGACACCCCGAAAGGCGATGCCGCACAGGCCGAAGGTGCTGTAAATTTGCTGGAGAGACGCTGACTCCGCGTGAGAGAGCCGACTGGCGATACCCCGCGCGCCAGAGGCTCCACTCTGCCGGCCGGCGAGGCACGCGTCGATACCCCGCGCGCGGCCGGGTTGTGGGCGGCAAGTTTGGGGCCTTTCGGGCGGAGCAAGGCGGAGCAAGGTAGGGCGGGAAACATTGTTGTTACTCGTTACGGCCCATTCGAGATTTCTCGGCCGCTGTAAAGTCGCGTCCTGGCGGTGGGCTCACTGGCCGGCCGCAGTGCCTCGGATACTAATTGAGCTGCTTTACGATGCGCCCCAACACGGGCCCGGCCGGCCGGCCTCGTCGCACCTCGGCAGACTGCCGTCCCGCAGGGCAGCGCGTCGCTCGCTCTCTCTCGCACCCTCGCGGGCCGCCCCACGAGTGCGAGAGAGGCAGAGCGACGGGGGGCCTTCCTCGGAAGCGGCCGGCGGGGCACCGCAGGGCTGCAGTGCAGCCTCTCATATATTCCAATTACGGTGGATCTGGCGCGAGGCTTTGGGCGCGGACGCGGCGGACGCGGACACTGCGGGGGGCTGCCTGCCTGCCTCCAGTGCAGCGCGCCGTCTAACAAGCAGGCCAAGACCGAGGCCAAGGCGACCACCCCGCCAGCGCCGCACAGCGAGGACTGCGTGTGGTGCAGCCCAAAGAGCAAACGCACCGAACTATACACCCCAACTCGGACCATTCCCCAAGTGTATTTGAAGCATAATTTGCTGCCGCCATGGGGCCTGCCCGCGCGAGAGGCGGTCGCGCGGGCGTCGCGTGGGCGTCGTGCTGGGGGACCGGGGGCACGGCGCGGCTCGACCACAACGGGGACGTTATTTTTCGGATGAGCGTTGTTTCCATCCGCTTTTATACGCGCGGCGAACCCTTCCGATTCCCTGGAGATTAAAACTTGCAGTGCGCTGGAGTGGCGCTGGAGTGGCGCTGGAGGGGCACTGCGTGGACGCCACGGCCCCGACGGGAGACAGGGGAGTCACATGTCTAGAGTTACGAGCGGCCAGTTGGAAAACTCGCGCCTCTTTAGCCGGGAGGAGGGGGTAAATGGCTGAGCATTTCGCTTCCTGGTCACTGCCCCCCGGACGGCCGAACCCGCCGCGCCGCGCAAACTTCCAACTCAAACTTGTCCAGCGGCGGGGCGGCTTGGGGGCGCCGTGCTTCAAAATGAAGAGCCCGGGGGCAGGGTAGCGCGCCGTGGCGCCGTAGCGGTACGACGGCGAGTTTGCGGCCCGCCGGAATAAATCAAATGTGACGCGGTGCGTCTCCTGCGGGAGATAAGCAGCTCTGTCTCTCTCGCAGCTCCGCGGCGCGCCCCACAAGTGCGAGAGGGATGAGGTCGCAGCGAAAGCACGCGCTCCGGACCGAGACTACTGGTGGAGCCACGACAGGCAGGCAGCGCGCTTTCGTCGCTCTGTCTCTCTCGAACGCATGCGGCCACGCGTAGGGGTGCGAGAGAGACGGAGCGGCAGCGGAATCGGGGCGAGAAGCCGGGAAAACGGAACCGCAGATTAATTTATGGCCGAGACGCGAATAGATTGGCGAAGGGTCACGGGGCCCGGCTGTGCACACTGTGCACACCCAGTGCAGTGCAGCAGCCCTGGCGCTTCGTTAGATTCGCATCAAGGCCAAATGCAATATCAAATAAAATACGGCCGAGGGAGGCCCGACCACTGTAGTTGCGACCGGCGGTAACTTCCCTCTCAAACGCCAAGACCAAGAAGGAGGAAATAAAGAGAAGATCTACAGGCTACTCACCATTTGTGAAGAGCTCTTCGGTTTTCTGTTGATGTCAGGAACTTTCTGCCCGGCTGCAAAGGGAAACAGACACACGTGAGCAGACCGCACGGAAAGAAAAACAAAAACAAACTGCAATGCAGAGATATGAAGCTTATGTACTCAGGATGTTCGAAATGAATATAGTCTGGTACAGACAGTTTGGAATCAGTAGGGGAGGTACTCACTAAATGTTTATGTAAAATTTTGTACCAGTAACTCGCATGGTTTAGTACATTTACGAGGAATTTGTATAATATTATGCGTAAAAACGCATAAATTTATGCAAATTTGAGCAGAATTTTCTGCAAAACGTTACACAGGTTTAAAATCATGCAACACCACGTACAAAGTTGTACATAAACATTTGGCGTGTATGATTGCAGTAAGACTCTTTATTGCGAGTCCTAAGAAGGTGCTAAGATAGGTCCCCCCGAAAAATCTGTTGCAAGGCAATGTAATTTTTTCCGGTTCGGGCAAGGCTTCATGCAACACGGTGGATTTTTTTTCTCCTCTCCCAACAACGGCTTGCATTTGAAACGCAGATCAAGTTTTTTTTTTGACGAGTCGTCTACGCGGCCAGGCCCGGCCGGGCCCGGGCAGGCGACCGGCTTATCCATGCATGAGCCGCGCGGCTCTCTCGAAGCGTGATGAATGGGAAAATAACAAGATTTATGAAATCTGCAAGACACGCGGGGCGGAGGCCGGCGGGCCCTGCAAGGCCCTGCCAGGCCCTGCCAGGCCCTGCCAGGCCCTGCCAGGCCCTGCAAGGCCCTGCAAAGGCCCTGCAAAGGCCCTGCAAGGCCCTGCAAGGCCCTGCAAGGGACCGGGCGAGGGCGGCGGCATGGCGGCGGCATCCGATTCAATCCGATAAGCGGCAGGCAAAATGTTTTCATTCAGGGACCACAAAGCACCTCCACGACAAGTGGGACGAGGAAAATGAAAAGTTCCGTGTCCTCACACCTCACCGAGGGGGGTGGAGCCACTGGAAAATTTTGTGTACAACGGCTGTGAAAAATGTGCTTCTGTACGTACAAGATTTTTTGCGTATTGACCACACGTGCTGCCTACTTACTAGCGGTTCTCTTTTTGCAACCTGAATGTGTTTAAATTTTGTACAAGAATGAGAGAACTCCCACAAGTTGTTCCTTCCCTCGCACCTTACGCTTTCTTTTCTTTTTGCCTTTTTTTTAAAGTTTCCACCATGTGCGATGAACTGACAACCTCCCTCGCAGCCCGGCGCTGGAGGGTGCCTTTTCAACAAGTCGAAGGGCGTCCCGTGCGTCGCTGCTCGTCGCTGCCTCGCCGCGTCGCGACAACCCTTCGCGGTCAACCGTGCGGCGCCGTGCGGCCACCCGCCTCAAGTTGCCCGGCACCCCCTTCCTGCCTCAAAGCCGCTCACCCCGAGGCGTCCTCACATGATATCAACTTTTTTTTTGCTTTTCCTTATTTTTATTTCCTGTTTTTTTTTTTTTCGCCCTCTCTCACTTTCTCCTATTCCACGCTGAAGAGGGAGGAAAGTCTTAGCCACCCCTTAGCAGACAAACAGAGCAAAGCTAGCGAAAAGAACACACGCGAACACAGACAGACAGACAGACAGACACACACACACAGACACACACACAGAGACACACACACACACACACACACAGCTTCTCCCTGCAGTGGCCTGGGTGCGCTTTCCGCATACAGCAAAGCAATCTCGCGATGCGGCGACAGCAGCAGCCTCCCCTGGCGGCGTTTGCAGTTTGCAGTGCACCTTCCGCTACGCCTGAGGCGAGACGGCCAGATCTGGCCGCACTTTGTTGACTGAATCCGGTTCCGTGTTCTCGTTGCTGTGTTCCCTCTTCCCCGACAGTGTCCGTTTATGAAACCCTTTCGCGGCCCAACGAGCTCTGTGAAGGCATTGTCATCGCGGCGGACGCGGCGCCCACCGCGAGCACACCGCGAGGCAACGAGACAAGACGAGGCGCCATTGTCTCAACAGGTGATTTACAGGCGGGCCCTGCTGCACGCAGTGCACGCCGGGGGACCCTTGTCACAGCGCCCGCCGCGCCCCGCCGCGCCCCGCCGCGCCCCGCGTCATCCGTCGCGGCGGGGAGGTCGTCAAGGACCGCGTCATGCACCTGGTGGCCGCCGGGCCGTCGGCGTGAAGGAGACGCCTGCATCCTCTGACGTGCAACAGCCGCGGCCCGGCGTGCAAGTTGCCAGAAAGTAATCATCGCGTCCACGTCCAATGATTTACCATCGAGATCGGGCACGCGGGTTGGCCTCGGACCGCGTCTTTGGCACCTGCTTGCCGTTCGTGCAACACTAGCGCGCCCAGCCTCTCCCCCGCGACCTAGCGCGCCCCACCCGCACCAACGACCCTCCGCGACCCCTGCCTAGCCTAGGGGACCGGGCCGGACTAGGGGCCGGACTAGGGGCCGGACTAGGGGCCGGACTAGGCGGCCGCGGCGGGCTTCACCTTTTTCCGGGTCCGGTTTCCGTCCGCCCGGCCGACCCTCGTCACAAGCATCATTAATACGCCCTGCTTGGCCACGCCACGCCACCACCGCGGCAGCACGGCAGCAGGTGGGGTGACAATCGGGGCGGTACGGTGTACTTACTGACGGCCTCCACCACCTCGGACAGCAGCACCCCGTCGGCGACGTCGGCCTGGAGGTCCCGGATGCGTCGCTTGCACTTGGCCTTCTCCAGGTAGTGGTTGGCCCAGTCGGAGTAGATCTGCAACACGAGGACGGTGGGTGTGAGCGCGGGCTGCGTCTGGACAGTCCGGACGGCCTGTCCGGGTGTCTGGATCGGGGAGCCCAGGCCGGCAGGCCGCGGCACGCACAAAGGGCTATTTAAGGTTCGCGCCTTCGCGCCCCGGCCGCGTATTGGATGGAAAAACAAATTCCTGCGCCGCTGCCGCCGCCATGCCGCCGGGCCGGGCGAGGGCGAGGGGGCGGCGGGCACTGCTCAAAACACTGCGCTGGGATAATGTTAGGGAAACGCTAAGACCCGAGGAGGGCACGGCATTCCACCCGATGGCGGCGCTACTCTGTCAATTCAGGTTGAAAATGTTTTTCTATTCCGAGTTTCCTCCAGTTTAGGAGAAACCTCGAGAGGAACCCGCGGAGAAACTTGCATCCTTCGCTGAGTTCCAGTGTAGTTCCACGAGACCTTGGCACTTCTGCTCCGGATTTTCATACCAGCAGCCGCCTGCTTCTGGCAATACACTTCCTGCCTCATAGTCAAGTTTTTGTCGGCGAGCGGGGTCCACCCCGCCCTGAAACAGGGTCCCGGCCCGCTGGAGAGGGGCGGTGGGGGAGCAGAGGTCCTGGTGACAAGTTCATCGCTCACGACGGTCATTAATTACGGCCGGAGCGCTTATGACTGGCGTCGCCTGGGAAAGCAGCAAGTGCTCCACTCCGGGGCAAAACTTTCGCACGCGCAATTATTTAAATAAATCCAGTTCAGAAAGTTGACGCCAGCGTCGCCAGCGTCGAGCGCCGTGCGGGTAGGCACTCCGGCGACTTGTGTGCCTTGGTGTGGCCTACCCAGCGCTCGGCCAGGCGCTCTGCTCGCTCCACAGTGCGAATAGAAACACCAAAACATTATGGATGTTATGCATGCAATCACCTCTTGGAGTTCAAAAATATCTAGTTCTAAGCGTTGTGTGTTTAGGTCATCATATTTTGCTGGGAGAAAAAAAGAACAGAGCAAGTCTGGTCAATAATGTTGGCTGGACCGTCCGTGCCTGCCATAGAACGGAACTTCCATACTGTGCCGTTCCCTTTAAAAAAAGGACTGAATTTTTTCACAGTGTGCGCTGCGGCGCCTCTCACCGCGTTTACGCGATACGGACGAACGCGCGCGCACTTTGAATTTTTGTTGCGTCTGCACTGCCGGTCCATCCATCGGCCGTTACCACGGACTGTTTGGCGCCGCAACACGCAACGCGTGTGGCCAGGGCCTGGCCAGGGCCCGGCCAGGGCGCATCTCCCAAACACGCGTGCGGGCCTGCCGGGCCTGCCGGGCGCGGTGCGGGCCCAAAGGGCGGCGGGGTAAACACACTGCGAACGGGGTCATTGGGGCGCGGTGTACCTGGATGATGTCCTTGTGCTGGCGGGCGAGCGTGGCGTTCTGGTCCTCCAGGGCGCTGGCCACCTCGGACCGCGGGGCGCGGATGCAGGCCGCCATGCTGGTGGCGTTGCACTCACGCTCGCTCAATCAACAAACAGTCCATGTCCACCGACCGCACCGACGCACTGCTTCGCGGTCGAACTTCTCAGCCGGCGGGCCTGGCCTCCTCCATGGTGGCAGGCAGCCCGCGGGGCACTGCTAGAAGGGAGACGCTGGGGTTCATTCACATGTTACGTGACGTTTCCTGCGTCTCTCGCACTCACTGGCAGTCCACGAGGAGCAACAAGGACAGGGCAATGGTAAAACGTGGCGTAGACGGCCCCACCGGAGCAGTATGACCGCTCCACCAGCAAAGATATTGTCGTTGTCAGTCAATAAGGGAGTCAAAGAGAGTGGCCACACTGTACAGTCAGTCCGTCCGCGAGGCCGCCAAGGCCGTGACCGCGGTCAGATCAAACGGCGCGCAGTAGGCGTCCCGCGCCGAAACCGCCAATTTTCCCCAGCCGATGAATACCTATTCGTTCCGGTCGAGGATCCTGCCTGACCCCTCGCCGGCCGGAAACCCATGGCAGGGCGGGGCGGGGCGGGGCGGGGCGGGCACAACAGAGCGCGCTCTCGCTGCACGCGTCGCAGAAATAGACGGCCAGCCCCCTACCCCTCCCTCCTCGACGCCCTGGGGCGGCGCGCCTCTGATGTGAATGCACTTCGGCGACGCGGGCCGTGGGCCGTGGGCCGGCGGCGGTGGACGCCACGGCCCGTGGACCCGCGGTGCTCTGGGCTCGCCACGCCAGGAAGCGGCGTCCTACGGGCCCAGCAGACTGATTCAGAGAGTCGCTGTCGTCGCTCGGTCTCTCTCGCACCCTGCGCCCGTGAGTGCGAGAGAGACCGAGCGACGAAAACGACTCTTCAGTGTGCTGGCCACACCGCCCGGACGGCGACGGCAAGCCACTCCACTCGAAGCGCGCACTTGCCGCGGAGGATGGCCCAGTAAAGCCGGAGGCAAGGGGGGCTGACTCCTATAATACTTCGTACACAGACCTATAATACTTGTATAATACCTATAATACTATAATCCATAATACCAAAAAATGCCGCACATTTAGTGCAGTTTCGGGTTCAAAATGAGAAAGTTTTGTAAAATTGTGGTGAACAGGCGTTCAGCGATTTTTAGACGGATCGTTAGAGTAAGGAAATGGCGCTAAGGCTGATGACAAGGTGCTGAGGCTCTTAAAGATGCGCGGTAGTATTTTGAGGCTCAGGAGCGCAAGCCGGAATCCTTGTTTTCAACTAACTTGCGTATTTCGGAAACCTTTGGTACACGGAAAACCACTTAAAACGACACAATTATCTAAATAAAATGTTCGGAATAATACCTATAATACTCTATAATACCTATAATATATAATACTTCGTACACGGTTCGGGAGAGTCAGCCCCCCTTGGCCGGAGGTAACCGCCGCGTAAGCGCCGTGCCGCCAGCAGCGCCGCCAGCAGCGCGCGGCCCGCGAGCTGACGCGGTGCATCAAAACTTGGATAATGCCTCGGCGTGAAAGTTTGAATTAATTGGCGCAGCCGAGGCGGTGAGGTGGTGGGGGAAAGGGGGGGGGGAGTGCCGCCTGAAAGGAGCCGCAACGAGTGGGCGGAAAGCGCAGCAAGCACACGTGATGAAAAATTCAGTTGTCGCAGGACGACCGGGGTGAGGAGGGGGAGGGAAGGGGGACCTGCACGGAGCGGTGCAGCAGTGGCTGTGCACACGGAGTGCGTCACCCGCACGCACGCACACACACCAACACACACACACACACGTAGGCGCACAATGCTGCACGTGCATTATTTGCCAAGCCGAGGGTGTGTTTGACTTTGGGGCTGCGAGGGCCCGGCCGAGCCGAGGGCCGCGCCGAGGGCCAAGGAGAGGAGCCCCCTTGAGGGTCCGCGCGCCGAGTGTGTACCTTGGCGGCACACAACATTGTCAAGTTGGCCGCCGGACTCCCACACAAAAGCACACACACACACACACACACACACACACACACACACACACACACACACACACACGTTGTGCGTTTGCACGATTGAAACCAATACCGGCGGCGGAGCTTCTATATTTGTCGGGCGGGAAGTGTGTGTTATTTGAACGCGGCGTCGCGTCGTCGTCCTCTCCGCCCGAGGAGGAGAAGGGGCACCTGCCAGTGTGGCGGCGGCGCGGGTGTGACAGAGCACCGCTTCCTCAAATTTACCGGGAGCTTTGCGGACGGCGCAGCGACCCGTGGCAATCCCAGTGACGTGTATGAATGTCCTCCTCAGCGCACGCAGGAAGCGGACTGGGCTCCGGTTTAAAGGACCTTAACGTCTTAGACTTGCTTTACAGATTTTTGCAGGAGTATTCGTGTTCTCATCGGAAAATCCGGGAAAATCTGAATCCCTCACGCGTCACAGCATTTTCAATTGGCTGAGTTCAATGAGGTCAGGTCGGTGTTCGTGCCTGCCTAATGTTCCCCTGCTGTGCGCGGTAAGCTGCAACCGCCAGGCGCACCTTTTACCCGCCTGCCCTGCAGCAGACTGATTCCGAGGGTCGTTTTCGTCGCGCTGTCTCTCTCGCACTCGTAGGGCGTCCCGTACGGGTGCGGGGGAGACAGAGCCTGCCCTGGTCCGCCCTTATCGGCCGTCCGTGCGCACGGCCAGTCGTAAGCAGTTCAACAACCCGCCGCCTAGATGGCGTGCTTGGCGCGCCGCCAGCGCGATGAATGGGGAGCGAGAGAGACGGTGGCAACAATTAGCGGCACCAGCAGCCTCATCCGGGAGCGGCTCTGTCTCTCTCGCACTCGTGGAACAAAAGGCTCCTCGCGAGTCCGTCCGCGGACTGGGCCCTGCTTGAGGCTGGGGCGGCCGGCGCAGCGCCACTGCAGCTCCCTGACCCACTTGGGCGTGCAGTGGCGGCCAGTGGCGGCCAGTGTGGTGGTCCCGAAGTAAACAGTTTCTGCACAGCGTCTGCGCGGCCAGACGGACACGCCGAGTCGAGTACCCGACAAAGATATCCTCTCGGCCCGGTGGTGCCGAAGGCCGGGAGCGTGGCCGGAAGCTTCGCGCGTCGCGGCGCCGGAAATACTCGCCCACTACACCTTCGCCGAACGGTGCGCCGAGCGGCGCGTGAGCGCGAGAGAGACAGCGGCGTGGCGCGGTGCGTCGGTGACGGGGTTATTTCGAAGAGGCACGGAGTGATTGTCCCGACGCGACTCCCACGAGAGCCGCTCGCAATCCGCTCTCGTTTCTCTCCGAGCGACGCACGACGGCGCACGACGGCGCACGACGGCGCGCGGGCCTCGCGCTAGCGAGAGCTCTCGCCTTCTTGGAGCCTTGTTATTCTATTTCGAGGGACGGACGAGGAAAATAACGCCAACAACCGAACCAACTGCTTTGCATTGGACGGGCCGGCGAGCGCGCTGTTAATTTGGGCGCGAAAAACCGCTGGCAGGGCGCAGTCTTGTGAAGTAATACCCCCCCTCCTCCCTTTCCAACCGACCGCCACCTGCCACGTGGACCGCGTCTGTGGCGCCCAACGTGCAATTACTATTTCGAATGCAGTGCGGTGTCTGTCAAAG